CCCAATAAAGATAATGGTGCTCATGTGTAAACTCGTGCAGAGTGCTACAGGAACGAGACCCTTTTTTTAAAACGGGTTTTAGCAGATTAAAGATTGAGAGAAAGGCAGTAACGGTTTGTGCTCTGCTACGAAGGCCTTGTCCACACAACAACTTTTAACGGTGTGTGTGTGTATATAGTTAGTGGTGGTGGGGATGACTGTAAAGGATGGTTTGTGTCTGTGCAGGACATGGATAGAAATTAGTAGCTATGACAGCTAACAGCAGACTAGGCTGGCACCTGGCTCTCTTCTTCTGTAATAGATTAAGTGCACTGGGGTTTGTTTGGTGAAGAAAGTACTCCTGACTAGTAGTTCTAGCTGTCAGTGCAGAAGGATATTTGAGTTCTTTGCCTTTGTTGCTGGTGCTCTATGTGCATGACCTTCAGTCACACTGTGTTTCTGCTGAAGCACTACAGGACAGTTGCTAAGTTTTTCTCAGAATACATAGATAAAACCAGTTAGGCATCAGGGTACATGCAGAGTCAAACAATTGTATGGCAATAAAGCTGCAGTGCGAATGAAAACTGAACCATGTTGGGGATTGGTCCTGTTTTGAGCAGGGGATTGGACTAGATGACCTCCTGAGGTCCCTTCCAACCCTGATATTCTATGATTCATGTTACTTGTGAACAGTTAAGCTGACTCTGTCATCAACGGGCTATAAAATCACAGTTGAAGATCTAACATTCAGTGTGTCCTTGGCAAGTCAGTTTTCTCTGTTCATCAGTTTCTAAAACCTTCCATTGGCTCTCCCTTGTGCACAACGTTCAGTTTACATTTGTTTTCCTCAGATTTGTGTCTCAACTCTATAGCATCCTCGCCTACATCTCAGAGCTTATAGTGTTACTTTCCCCTAGCCATCACCACTGCCAGTGATATCAGCCTCTATGCCTTGTGCGTTTCTTTCTCTGTGTAAATTGCTGTTCCATCCCAGTTTTCCAAACTACCAACCTCTCATTAATAAAAGCGATACTGCTTGAGATTTTGGAATGAAAAATTTATGAAAAGTATTTGTGTATTCAAAGCTTGTTGTTTGTTTATTCTAATTCTTATTATTGGTTCTGTATCACTAATACTTAACATGTACAAGTTCTATAAAAATGCTATAATACTGTACAACGAGGAATCTCTTGAACAAAATGATTAGCAACACAATCGAGTTCCAAGTAGTAATCTAAAGAAATATTTCTCCTTATTTTTCAGAGATGTAATAAAAAGAATAGATCAGTCAGAATTTGAAGGATTTGAATACATTAACCCATTGTTGCTGTCAACAGAGGAAACAGTATGAAGGAATGACATCTCCATTGTGGACAAATAATGTGAATGAACTTTAAATTTATCCTTAACTACAGTATATGCATGCAAGGCTGGGGAACTGTAAAGTTTTGGATGGAGACCAATGATAAAAAATATTGCTGCTGAAAATCAAAGATGAGAATATGATTTTGGTGGGTGTCTTCCTCTAAATATTGGTTTTTAAAAGTTTTGGGCACTGACACAACTGGCTTCGTTAATGAAGGAATTTGCATTTGTGCCTGTCTCGTGAAGGATCAAAGTGTTCATTGCATCCTCGGGAAAAGAGAGATTCCGAACAACTTTGAAAACTACATACTTTCCACAAACACTTGATGCACTGAGCTATTAATTGAAGAATATTAGAGTGTAACATCCTGAAGAATAAAACGTTAGTGGTGTTGAAGCTTATTTTTTATGCCTTTTTCACAAGTGGTACCTGTCTAAACGTCTCAGATACGATATGTAAAAGGAGTTGTGTTTTATTAGCAATCAAAACATAAATTTGGGTACAGGTTTTAAGTGCCTAAATGGATGAACTGCATTGAAGACTTATTACATATTTTCAACATTCTTAACCCTGGTAAGTTAGGCTTGTTAACATTCAATAAGGAACATATAAATAAAAGCTGCACCCTAATACTGAGGTACATCTTTATAGAGGAGCAGAGTGACTCGGCAATACCAATTCCAAATTAGAACTCCCTGTATCAAATCAAAAATCTGGATTGTTTAAACCTCAAAATTTTAGTTTAAAAAAAAAACTAAATTTGCACAGAGTGGATTTCTGAAAATACGTAAGCAGTGCCTACAATGATGTCTTGTGTTGTGTATTAAATTTTTGAAAAGTATTTTTATCAATAATACAATATTCAGAAATAGAACAACAAAAGTGTAATGGATCGTAGCCTTAAAGTTTAAATAGCAAATCTAGATTATCCATAAACATGCTACATTTTCCTGATAAAGCACACCTCCTACTAATCAACTGTCTGCTTAGAAATACTCAGTGTATATTACTAATTCATTGTTCTACATAGAACGGGATGCTTTGATAAAAATGGCTTGCTTCAAAGCAGTAACTTTTTCAATGGAAGGAAAAATGAATATGTGATAATTTGGGTAAGGTGATAGATGTCCAGTCCCTTCTCTTGAAAACTGGAAAAAAGGGGATGTTATATCACAAAGGTTAAGAATTTGTTGTCAGCTGTGGAAAAACTCATGTCACTATATTTAATGACTAAGTGTGCACTGCAATCTAAAAGCTTTCAGATGCTTGTAAAGATTTACCTGTCTCATTGCAGATGACAACAACAGAGGCAGTACTTTGTGCTAGGTTTTTGTTTAACTACATTGTGTGGCTTGTGGTTCTGGGGGGAAATTGATGTGGGAATTTAAAAAAACCAAGAAACCCTGTGCCATGACATCTCACCTAATTTGGTGTAAAATGCAGGATAAATTGCAACATTTTCTTTACATTAACATATAGGTTTCTCAGGGTACAGCATTGCATTAGGTGCTGAACATGACATCTTTCGGATTCACATCCAAGTCATGAGGTGCTAGGATGAGACTGCCAAAACATTGTGTTTAAATTTTTCAGTTAACCATTGGTTAAACTACATTTTGTATCCCCTCATTGGCCACAATTATGCAAACCTGTGGTAATTCAGTTTTATTAATCCCATCCAGATTTGAGTTTTGGGTTTCTTTTTGTTGGATTGTAGCTTTTTATATTAAGCAAGATGTGTTCTAACCAGCACTAAATTATTTAATCAGAAAAAAGTACTTGCCTCAAATGCCTGGAGTTTAGATAATTTGGTATCTAGTAAAGAAGTTACTTACTTTTTAAACTTTTTTGTTTTAATTCCCCCTTTTTTCCCTCCTTGGCAACTTAGTGTACCCTGAACATTTTCTGTGTTTCAGTATTTAATCAATGCCCTTGGTTTTACAACTGATCATTACTTAAAACAGTGACTATGGCAGTTCTTGCATGGAGATATGACAAAGCTGCCCTTAAATGGATCTGGGCAAGGGGCTTAGAAATGGAAACATGGAGGTTTTTTACCTCAAATTTCTATGAGACATTGGAACATTTTGTTTGGGGGGGAGGGAGAAAGAAAGGGACAGAAAGACTCATTTGCTCAAAAAACGTTAAAAAATCCTTGATTTATTTACAATTCAAGGCATTTACAATGTTTCTGTGTTGCCAAATAGTTTGCTGGTTCTAAGTTTGGTTGCTCACGTGCAAGTGTATGAATAATGTTCTGTTCATGATGAAGGGGGAAATTTTTTATATAAAGTACTTGTTTTATAAATTAAAGAAAATGAAGGATGTAATTAAATGTGTGGTTTGAAAAAAAATCCTAATATATTACAAATGGATCTGGTTATGATATATAGTTGTCTTATTTGAAATAGTAAATGAAAACTCTAGCTAATTTAATGATTGTAAAACAGTAAATATGTTCTTGTAGTTTTGTATAATTAATTAGTTGAGATCTTTGCTGGCCAGTTTTAATTGTGCAGAAGATGGTATACTAATCCATAACAGCTAAGATCATTTATATTCTTGCACATCTATTAAAGACTTTAATGAAAAAGCCAATAGACTTATTATTTATCACCACATTGAGAAATGACCAATATAGTTAGATATTTTTTTTTTAACTGAGAGCCTTATGGTCATTGTAAATTAAAATATTCACCAAGGTTTGTATTTTGATACTGTATTGTGTTTTATTCTGTATTTTTGGACCATAACCAATGCCTAAATCATTGAGTCTGGTCCAACAGTTTTCCTGTGGCAGAAAATTTGTTTGTTCAAATATTGAACTTTTACTTCGGTGTTAATCTGAGGCGCAGTCTTTCACGGCACAATATGTGTAGCCGAGTACGGTCAAAATAACTGAAAGAAAATGCAGACTAGTCATTTTTGTTTTTTATTCATAACCTTGTGAGAAGAAATGAGTTCAGGGATTGTGAATCTAAATATCATGTAATGCACGAATTAACTACCCTGTTTGGTGAAAACAGGCGTCTGTCCCATGGGGAAATGAAGCACCTATTGTATATCCGTGTCTTTCCCTCCCTTCCCACAAATTGTTAATAAGCTATTACTGAATGTAATGATCTGCAATCAGTAATGAAATTTAAAAATTTACAACATATTTAACTGCAACTGTCTTGGTAACCTGCTGGAAATTCATGACAAGTCGTGTATAATTTTAAAGCACAAAATCTGATTTTAAAAATGAAAGAGCATAAAAGTATCAGTGTGATTTGCTGAACAAAGAAGCTGTGCTTCTTTACATTTTCACATAAGTATAAGCAATTTTCCACTTGTCTGGGGGCAGCGACAAGTATATTTGAGCCTTGTTCTATTAGCATAATTACATTAAACCGTTCTGCATTTCGATGCTATGAGAACATCTAGCTATGCGTTTATCGGGCATAATTTATATGAGGCTTGCTATCTTCGTTATTTTAAATGAGAGGTTATAATGAAGCAGACCTTGACTTGTGGGAGAGAGAATCGGGGAGCAGTGATACGAATCCAAGAATGTCATCTGTATGAAGGGTGCAGTTTTCCTTCCCTAATCTGGGATATACAGTACCATCATATATATACTTTCATATAGTGGACAATACAGAACAGTGCAAAATTCCAGCTAGATTTTTATTTAAACTTTTTTTCAAATAAAGCATGAACTGAAATTTAAAAGCCTAAACAGACATTAAAAAATGCTGTAGTACCCAAAGTATCAGGCAATTTACTTTCCAAAGAGTTAACCATTTAGAACCTGATACAAAGCCTGTTGAAGTCACTGGATTCAATGACATTTGGATTAGGCAAATTAACAGTCTACAGAATTAACAGTCTATAAGAAAATTTCTTGCATCAACCTCTTCCTGCTATACCTTTCAAAAGCATAACAATTTAAATACCTGGCAAAAGAGAACAGATACTGTACTTCAAGGAGCCATAATAGTACTTTTTTGATATGCATTCGGTGGGGCTCCACACCATCTAGAAGTATGCCCACACAGTTCTCTTTGCAGGATCAGGGATACAATGGATACACAGAGCGGTTCAGAGGAAATGAATAGAGGCTGATGGTATTTCTGACCTTTTTTTGTTTTTCAATTATACAAGTTTAATACACATTCTATCAGGACACATTTTCTTGATATACTTTCCTTTTTTCTTAGAGAGATTCATATCTTAGCATCTGACTTCTTGGCTCTTCATTCTTGTTCTTTTACCAAATCACATCATCTGCACTTTCAGACAAACATTTAGCAAGATGGCTGTCAATGTCCAACTGTGACAATCTGCAAATTAAGAGAGAAGTCTTTCATTTTATCAGAACTACTGATCAAATCTGCTCCCTTCATTTACTCACACTCCCCCCAAACTTGGTTTTTCGTTTTCTAGAAATCTGGAAAAATGCTATTTAATTTGCAAGAGTCAGGTCATTATGTTCTACAGAATGGAAAACAGAGTCGGAGAGGAAATTAAAATATGGTTGTAATATTGTATTTTGAATAAAAACAAATTTCATTCTGAACCTGTTTCCAAAATAGTAACTTAAATTTAGAAGTACATTTAATATGGGAACTGCACAGAGACTTACAGAATTTCCAGTTAACTAGACCAGCAGTTCTCAAACTCTGGATCACAACCCTGTTTTAATAGAGTCACCAGGGCTGGCTTAGACTTGCTGGGGCCCGGGGCCAAAGCAGATGCCCAAGCCCCACTGCCCAGGGCTTCGAAGCCCTTGGGCTTCAGCCCTGGGCAACAGGGCTCAGGTTACAGGCCCCTAGCCTGGGGCTGAAGCCCTTGGGCTTCAGCTTTGGCCCCCCTGCCCAGGTTGGTGGGGCTCAGGCTTTGGCCCCCCTGCCTGGAGCGATGGGGCTTGGGCCAGATCAGGCTTCAGTCTCCCCTCCTGGGGTTGTGTGGTCATTTTTGTTGTCAGGAGGAGTCATGGTACCATGAAGTCTGAAAACCCCTGAACTAGATCAATAACAAAATGAGTAATGTGGGGAATATTCTGAAGCCTTTGAGAAAGGTTTCTGGGTATGCTCATTCTTTCACTTGGAGAGAAAAAGGTAAAATGAATTCTCTGTACAGCACCCTTTATAGCCCTCTGTTAAAAAAGAAATCTACTCCAAAGCAATACAACCCAAATCACCAGTGGAAAGGTAGGTGTGACGCCATAGAAGAGTCTTTAGTCTCAGTCAGGTCAGTTAGCAAAACAGACATTTTTATTGGTTGCATTGAAGTAATCCTTTTGTTTGTCTCCTTGTACAGTCTCCAGGAGGGAGAACAAAGCTGCAGGAATATTATGCTCCATGGCCTATAGCCATAAGAGGCTGTTCCGAACACCTACAAGCATATTACTAATAAATGTTACTTTTCAGCAGCTGGTGAGGAGACAGCATGAATGCTGGTAAGTGGTATGGTATGAATAGGCTCTTTAGTTCATTTCTTATAGCAGGTGTCTGGTTTAGGAAAATATTTTTTTATTAATTGAGTTCCTGTGAAAAGCAAACTCAACAATAACGGAGGTGAAGTCATGTTTAACCACCAAACATGGGAACAGCAAAGGCAGTGGCAGCTTTCTCCCCCCACCGCTTCCCACACACAGCCCTGACCTGGAAAGGCCATTTCTAAACGTGAAAGGGTAGTTTGTCATCCATGCATATTCAGTCTTTGGGCCTGTTTTTTGTGATTTGAACCCCACCTGCTCACAAGGACATGAACTATGGCCCACCAAACAGCTGACAAATAATTACATTGTCATTAATGACTCACTCAATTTAGATCAGTGACCTTAGAAGTGGAGACTCATCTTTTACAGATTAAAAGTTAGCCAGCCTACCAGAAAAATAAAATTGAAACATGAGGCCCACAATCTGTAACAGACAAGTACAGTCTCAAAGTACATAACATATGCTACGCTGTAACTCAATGTTCAGGCCAAACTGATTATGTCCTATACTATTTTCGTTTGGGTCACAAAGGTCACCCCTGGGAGTTTTTATTCAGGGTAAAGCCGCCCCATGAGCTGCAATAAGAGTGCAGTATCAACTATTAAGAGAGATTTTTCTTATCTTTGATATACAGGGATTTCCATACTCAGTCAAACAATCATTTAACCACCATTGAGAGTTGAGTGGAACTCGGGGAATGCATCAGGATGAGATTACTGTAATTCCCTATCCCAAATCCATGTGTTAGCATTACTCTTTGCTGCTAAATAGCTGCAAGCATACTGAACCTTAAGAACGAAAGGCAAAGTGTAAATGTCCAGGAGCCACATAATATTTAACTGAGATCAGCAAAATTATTTCTAAACATACCAGTAACTTCGACATTTTGCATTTTCTATAAAAGGATATTCCAAAAGAAGGATTTCCACAAATTTAAGACCCAACCCACTCGCCAAAACAGCAGCTTCAATTGATCTGAGAAGAAAAATCTCTTCCACTTCTACCAACAGCCAGCATTCAGATAACTGGCAGGTTTCTCATTCTGAAAGTGTAATGATTCTTCTATGGTTTTGTCCACTCAGGGATATTTTCCAGCATTACTATACCTATATAACTCCCCTGTGAACGTTCTTATGCACAACTGTGGAAACTGAAAAAGGGCCACTGTTGTTCTAAATGTGTCCACCTAGGGAGTTAGTGGTATAATTATACTGATAAATTTCCCAGTACAGACAAACTCTATTATCACTGCATGATCCTTTACTCAAACTGAATGAGTGTGTATTAGCTGTGAAAGATCTGTTAAAACAAGGTTGTCACCTGGAGCTGTTCTGCACCATACTTTTGTATTTCAAACAAAGTCAAGCAATGCTTCATTAAGATTTTTTTCTCAGAGTTCTGTGGCGTTTTTTTCCACTTTTTTTTTTTTTTGCGGTCCTGGATTAATAACCTTGAAGACTGATGTGCTTTCTTGGAGTCTAATCATCTTAGGCTATGCCTACACTATGGGGACTCTAACAGCATGGGTACAGTGATGTAAGTAGGCTGGCATAACCCCTTGTGTAGACACAGCCTGCAGCAGTGGAAAATGTTTTTCTATCACCCGTAGGAACACCACTTCCCTGAGCAACTGTAGAAAGGTAAATGGAAGCATTCTCACATGAACCTGACTGCGTCTACAACGGAGGCTAGGTTCGCATAGATTTTTCACACCCTCGGAGTGCTGTAGTTATATTGACCTAAGTTTTAAGTGCAGACTAGGCCTTAGAGGTGCTGGGTACTCAACTCATGAGACAATCAGCAGAACAGGGGCATGATGGGAAAACACCAGTGCAAGTTTCTCTCTGTCACAAGTGTGTACAAACCTCAGAGGGAACACTGATCGGTATCAGAGGAATCTGAATGGGTATGGAGACTAGGCTTTAGCAAGCAAGGACACCAGTTTTGGATGATTGAAATATACTGATCTAAAAATACGTCCACTTCACCAAAAAACAGTATGCCAATTTGGAATATACAAAGTCAAAGTAGGGCTCAAATTTGGCTTTCTTTTTAGAGCAGTATAATAGAGAAAACATGTGGACCTTATTCCACCTTTGTTTTGGATTTAAAATAGATTGTCCAATCACTGAATAACACTTAAGGTAGTACTTTAACAATAGAATCTTTGTCCCAATTTGCACAACTTTGTTTATAGGGAGGTCCCAACCAAAGTGCCATGTTTGTGTTTGTATACTGTAAAAAATATATATATATATTCAAGTAATAAAATGAAAGACTTACATTCCAGTAAACTGGATTAGACACATCGGACAACTGTCAAGAGTTAAAGTTCCTGCTCTCTGATCCTCAGCCTTTTCCTCAAGACCTTCCATTTTGGGGATGTCAACAGGAGATTTTATTTCTGCAGATGTAGATCTGGTCTCACCTAATAAAACATTATGTTGGTACATTTGTGCATATGACTGTTGTCCTTTGCTTTCATTTTCTTTTCTGTTTTTCTCTTCACTCAGCACAGTCCCTTTACAGAGCTGTGGAAGACAAAAATCTTTTGCAAGACTTTGGGTAGATGCTGGTACAGAATGCAGTATTGAATCTGTAAATTGATTACGTTCATACTTTTCAGTCCTTTCTTTTTCTTTCAGTTTTGAAGAACTTTTTCTGCTGTGTTTCATTCTTATGATCTCATCTGGATTGTCATTAACTGCAAGGGATATTTTCTCAACTACAGGAGCAATATTTAGCTGGTTTTGGTCTGCTTGGTCCTCTCTTTCCATTAGATGCTCAGTTTGACTTTTTGATATGTGACAGCAGCTTGGATTCTTTCTATTAAGAGCTTTTTCTTTGTAGAAAGATGGGAGAGGTATCCATTGAAAATCTTTCATTCCTACCTTAAAGACTTCTGGTTTTGGTGGGTTCTTCTCATTTTCAGAATTCTATAAAACAGCAAAAATTTATCTCCTTCAAAACAATTGCAATTTCTTCCATATGTAAAAACAAGTTTAGACACAGCACTTACAAGTATATTATAGAAGCCAATGTTGCACTAGGAGAATTGTCTAAATTGGAATGAATAGGTCTCTTCCATATCTAATCTCTGTTAAGTGTCTACTTCCACTTATAAATGGAAAGGGAAGCCCTGCTTACTATGTACACGTTAAGATGACTGAACACAATGAGGGTAAGTCTTCCTTTAGTCATTTGCAAAGAACTTGAAAGTAGTCAAAAGAGGATGATGATAAAATTTAAATACTGAAGGCTGCCTTGTTTGTTTGCTCTTCCCACGTATGTTCATTCAGAGGAAATTTATACTTCAGGAGGTCTGCACATTATTATTTTGTATTGTGGCTGTACCTAGGGCACCCATCAGAGATCATAGCCCTATTGTGCTCTCTAAGAACACATCCTCTTGTTGCTGCATATTTAGTTTGCCTTTCCCTGTAAATCCTCCTTTTGTGTGAACCTAGTGCTCATAACAGGTAGTGGACTTGGCAACCTTGGAATTCTGAAACTTCCACTTTCCACAGAACTGCTTGGTGTAGCACAGGAAGCAATAGTCTAAGAAGCAAGATTTCTTCTGCTCTCCTATCATGTTGTGTCAATTCTATCCTCGAAGGTCCTATGGAAAACAAAAATCTAGAAGAAAAACTAAAACCTTGGTCTTTTTCGGTTTTTAGCCAACACGAGTAAGCTTTTCTTTGGAACTGGTTAGTAATCCAGAATTTTAAACAAATGGCTTTCTGTGGAGGGTCTAATTAGGTAAAAGATACAGATACATGGTGGGTTTTAAAGTGGAATTTATCATGTCTCAACTTTAGATTGTCTGTGGTAACTGACATCTAATTCAGATTCTGCCAAAGTTTATGTGAAGAACAAAGCTCTATTTGTTCTGAGAGAGAACTTCTAACAGAATGTAGGAACTAGGGGCGTAAAAGTTTAACCAGTTAACCGATAAGCTTGATCCTTATCGGTTCCGGTTAACAATTAAACTCCCCTGCCAGCCCCCGCATGCCCGGGGGTCCCGGCTGCGGATGCCGGGCGCGGGGCGGACAGTCAGGACCCTGGGTGCATGGGGGAAGAGGGGCAGCCGGGATCCTGGGTGCATGGGGAAAGGGGGGCAGCCGGGACCTCGGGTGTGCGGGCTGCAGTGCCCCCACACACCTCGTTCCCTGTTAAACGGTTAACCGATTCAAGATGTTCCTACTAGGAATGTAAACAATGGGTAAAAAAAAAAAGTAACAGTTAAACCTATTGAAATTCAAACACATTACCTGTCCAAAAAATTCTGGTAAACTGGGCACTGTTTCCCAGCTTGTGGGTTTTAGATCTGGATTGACAGCCTTCAGTATCAGCATCCACATATTTTCAGACTCACTTAATCCTTGTTGTTCAAACCAGGAGTATCTGTTGGCCAATGTTCTGTTAAAAAAAAAATGCATATATACATAAATATTGTAGAAAAAAATGCACTCTACCATGCTATTAAAAAACACTTAGGCAAATTACCCCTAGTAACATACATGCTTCCTAACAAGTCTAGACCCCCAACCTCTGTTGAATAAATTAAGTATCTGCTGTAACAAAGTATTGGACAATGTCCCAGAGCAATAGTTCTTAATCTTTTCCATTGTAACCCTATGTTACAGTATAGTTTTGAGACTACTCCTCTTATCTATAACAATTGACCCTCAGGATGAGACCCCAAAAACTAAACCAAGCATACTGTACTGAACCCCCCTTTCCTCCAGCTGAGTTGGATTTTTTACAGCAAGTAGACTCCCAGGAGAGGTGTTCAAGACTACACACAGTTCAGGTTAACATACTTCCTAAAATGTCTCAAAAATTGCTTTACTAAATCTCATATTTTCATGTTGCTGGGAGATAGCGAACTTATGGGAAACCACGAAGACAACTGTTTTGGTTCTTAAAGAAAACAAACAAACAAACACTCCATCCTTTACACTACCGCTTTTTCAACTTCTAATTTACAAATGTCTTCCATAAAGCATCTGGCAAACCATCTTAAAACACACATGCTACATATGAGGCATGTCTTGTCAAATGAGGAAAATCTGTAAATGCAGATTTTACCTCCTATAAATGGGAGAGTGCCAACTGCATGGGGATGGAGGAAAAAGGGATTTCACTGTACTGTGTACCACAGTACTCAGTTACCAAGGTAACCTCCATATCATCTATAGCAAGCTCTTTCTAAAACCCCCAGCAATGAAGCATTAACATCACAGTCACTCTGAACTCTTGCATTTGGTCTGGGTTTTTTTGGAAACTGGAGAGAGACTACATTTATGGTTTATTACAACAATCTGTAACCCACTCTCTCACACACAGCTACTTTCCTCCCCATGCCTGGAGGCTGTTAACAGGTCACTTCAATTTGAATGGTCCCTTGAAATATGTGTTAACTGTTTATGTTAACCAAGAACTACTGAGTTCATTTCACAGACCTGAAGAAAAGCTGTGTGTAGGCTTGAAAGCTTCTTTCTCTCGCCAACAAAAGTTGGTCCAATAAAAGATAGTACCTCCTTCACTTTGTCTTTCTAATATCCTGGGACCAACACACCTACAACACTGCATACAGGCTATCTTCATGACAATCTAATAAAGGCCACATATGATGAGAATACCTTTAATTCTTTAGCATTTACTGTAAGCGTAATGCTCAATAGGTGAACATTTTCTGCTGGGTCTGGGAAAAATATTTGTTTTTCTTAGCAAAGGGCTTGTATATTGGACTGTGTGAAAATGTGTTTAGAGGTCTGCCCTTCTCACTATTAACAACCAGAAGTAGGAATCTCACCACTTTTATATTTGCTGGCCCAGCCCACACTGCCAGCTGGAAAAACTGCATATAACTAAAATACTTTTCAGGAACTAAACTTGAATCATTTCCGTATCCACTGAAACCTCTACAGTGGGTGAACTTGTAAGTTGCAAATTCACACAAGTTCTGAGGCAGGATTTAATGTCCTATAGGCAAAAGAAATGCAGTGGCAAGTAACAGATCACCACTCAATATGGGATTTCACCACAAACAACAGACCTGGTAAAAAGTGTGAGTTGGGGAAGTGATGCATGATTGC